AGGGAGCTGATTCTCTCAGTTGTTTTGATAATTCACTTCTCTCAGCCTAACTCCAGTCATTCTTATTTTTCAGCTGGACTTGGCGCTGAAGCCTACATGTCCCCTCAGCCTCAATCATCCAAAACCGGCGCTCAGCAATTCGATGAGATGTACCTCAATCTGATAAACTCCAACATTGACGTTCAATCCGTGTGGATTCAGGTGAGCGAGAATTGAGGCCCAGGACAATCTGAGAAGCTAGCCTTCGCTAGTCTGCTCGAAAGGAGAGCAAAGAGGAGAAAAAAGCTCGGTGGTAGAAAAAACCAGAAAAGCGAAGCAGCTCGCCAAATGTGATGGGAGCAATAGCGCTCGTATGTTCTGGGAATGGCCATGGGTCGAGCTGGAAAGTGGAAAATAACATTCATGCAGTAGAGGAAACAGTGGAGGAAATTCACGGGCAAGCTAAATAAAAAGCAGCGGGTGGAGGCGGAGCGGTTGCGATGACGTCACTGTCACTCCCACAGCCCCCTTCCACCACTGTTAGTCAATGACGTTATCCCCCAACTCCTTTGAGGAAGCAGGACTGAAGATTGACCAAAACAATAGAACACCACCAATTACAATAATTCGATAGAAGAGGATTGGTCCTTTCGCAAAAAGAGGTACCCACAAAAAAAGGAAGTGTTCCAGGTGACGGGGGTTCAAAATTCCGGATTACTCGTAACGTGTACAAATCAGTAAAACTGTCAACTCCTCAACAGCATTCGCCAACGAGCCAATGTAAGCGCCTTTCGCCCTCTACGGCAGTTTCACTATAACAGGGCTTTATTCCAGCACTATGGCCTATCTGTTGGTATCTACACAAACATCGATGAATGGAGCGAAATCACAGGCTCGGCCAAAATCAACAACGCCATGCTCTGGTAGGGCCCCAAGGAGCGCGGTTAAGCGTTAGGCACTTCTTGAAATTTTTACGATGGACCATACCATCCATTATTGGAGAGAAGGCTCTCGTTCTCTAGAGTCGGTACCAAACGAACACGCTATATGAGGGAGAAACCGGAAGAGATTCACGAAATACAAAATAATTACAGAATGTCATATTTAGATAAAAGGATAAAGGATAAAGCATTTGCCGTTGATCAATCCCTTTTTGGGATGCGGCACGCATTCTACTTCCATTTGTACATTCGTAGTGGCGTTTGAATGCGATGTGGCCTATACAATGACTTGCGGGGGCCAGCCGATGTACAAGTCAGTTTTTATCCTCCCAGACAAGTCTGGTACCAATTAACCGACCCCGGAGGGATGGAAGGCTTGGTTGGCCCGGGCGACTCACGACCCAGGATTTTGATCCCGGACCGCTCGCGTGGTAAGCGTGCCACTTGCCACTACACCACTTCCGCCCTGAGAATATAAGAAGCTATTGGGAGATTGAAAATAATCCTTATGAAGCGCGAACGACGAAAAACGAGTGTGATATTTTTAGTCAGGGCCCTAGTAACCTTTACACACGAGTTTACAGCGAATTTTGTGGAAATCGTTCCTTGCGCAGCTGAAGCCAAATGGCGCCAATTTGAGCAAGCGCCAAAAATGGTATGCAATTCGTGATCAGGACTTTTTGATAACCTACCACAGAAACTTGCAGCAGAAAATTTTTTTGACTTAGATCAATCCCTCTGAGGAGAATTGTGATTAATGCCCGTGTTTGCTGCTCGAATACGCCCAAAGGGAGCGACATGGTAATACCATTTTGAACAAGCATACTTACTTCAAATTCGGATATTCGCAAAAGTTAGATAAAGTGAAATCTACAAAGCTTTAAGCTTTCCACAGCTATAGGTACCGTAATCTGAAACAGCGCGAACACAAGTAAGTTGGATCTGGGAAGCGCGTGGGACCAGGGTCAAGCGAGGCGTCGAGGAAAATTTGGAAATACGACCCCCCCCACCCCTCCGCCGGAGGCCGAAGTCCATGAAACAACCCTCTTCAAAAGCCGAACTATGAAAAAGTTGTTTAATTCTCCCCAAAACTGCTCATAAAAAAGCCCTGCTACCCCACCGTCCACAAAAAAATTCGTTTAAGAAGTACAAAAGTGAAAAAGTCAAAGAATAATCATTATTGATGAGTCCTACCAAACGAGCAAACGAGAAACAGACCAGAAAACGACAAACTAGCCACTAAAAATGGCATACTATGACAACATCTGTTCTTTATTTATTTCCTCCACAAGACTTACCAAATTCTAGTACTACACAGATTGTGGTTCTCAATTTGCACGTAGCCCTTCAGTTGAAAGAAGCTTTTTAACCGCCTTCGCCAGCTGTGTGTTGACTGGACTTTGGCGTTGACCGTGGAGCAGCTTATTTACTATTGAAATTTGAACAAATATTCAAATGATTATAACTTTCTTCAAATATGACGAATTTTCAATCTGAAAGCAGATTTGGAAGTTTTGTGAAGAGCTTTTTCTAATCAGTACTGAAATTACAAAAAGTTATAAGAAATAACAAATTTAGATCAATTAACGAGGAAAATTCGAGACGAGCACGAGTTTTTACACTTTCCGGAGCAATAACTTGCTTCATTTCCGTCAAATTCAAAAAGTTGATACGTCATACAAAACTAGAAGATTTTCTCTATCAAACGGTCGCTAAAGCAGCTTCATACGTCCAGTACTCAAAAAATGGCCACGTTGAGGATTTTGCAAAATTAACGAGGAAAATTCGTGATGAGTGCGAGTTTTTTTACTTTCCTAAAGCCATAACTCCGTTCAAACTCATCCAATCCGAAAAGTAAATACGCCATCATAAACTAGAAGATTTGCTCTATCAAATGCTTACTAGAACTGCTCCAAACGTCCAGTATTAAAAAAACGGCTACGTTGAGGATTTTCGCACGAGTACCGCCGAAAGGTACTTTTTCGCTACATTGGCACTATTTCAACGGCTGTATATCCTTTTAAGGGCGATTATGTACTAAAGTAAGAGCAGATTTGAAATCACTGCTTTTCTCTTTCTAAGAAAAGTGATTGATTAGCGTTTCTCAACTTTAAAGGTTACATGTTTATAAATTTAACCCTGAAGAGTCCGTTAACGCAATGTTGAATGGTGTACACCTCCCTGTAAATGCGCACGGACACTTTCAGAATTCTCTCGATTGTTCCTGAATTGAGGTTGTTTGTCCAAGGAGCCGTAGTTGAAGCGCGCGCAACAACTAGACCCTTTCTCGGATGCGCCGTGTACCTCACATCCCTTCAGATTCGGGGTCTTACTTGAAAGATGAAATATCTCTTGGAAAGCGTGCGAAATTCAGATTCTTTAACTTGTGTGGTGATAAAACACTGAAGTAACTAAGAATTACCGGACGCCTCAGAATCACGAAAATTTTGTGTGGGTGAAATATCATTTTCATTGGAAATCCTCTGGCCTGGCATCGACTCATCCTTGATATTTGTCTTCCGACGGTGATGATCCCACTGCATCAAAATGGCTCGATCTCTTCCACCCAGCGGGCCAATACGACCCCCCCCTGCGACGTGTCGAGGATTCCTCAACGCACGCTTGACCCTGGTGGAACTCGGATGACCAGTTTAGGAGAGAAAAGGTGAGACTGTAGGAGGCAGGCTAATTTCCCACCCCGTGTCCAAAACTCAGTATATATCAAAAGCCGCAGTTACGCAGACCGATTGACCACTTTTTGTTGCCAATGCCACGTAAGCCTTCCGTGACAGTGAAATTCGTTGATGACCTCCAGCCACACAATCACAACAGCGTTATTACTAATTTCAAAGCTCTGTCAAGCACAAGTGGTACCTTTAGTAAATACCCGCACTTTTTTTATTTTATCGTAGGTACTGGAACACAACTGGCATGGGCTCGTCGAATGAGACTCCGGCCAACTACAGCGACTTCCTTTCGTTCGGAGGATGGACAACGCCATCAGCAAAGCAGTTCGCTCAGCTGGAAGACGTCTGTGGATTAGTCATGAACAGGTGGGAAAAAATAGTTTGGCGCTAGCAAACTTCCCGCCATAATAAATATTATACAGGCGGGCAAAAGGCGGGCAATCTGGTTGTGAAAGTTTTTTTTAACCTGCCTAGTCAGCTTAATTATGCGGCTCTGAAGAGTTCTTTAGATGATCGAATGGTTCAATGAAAAAACATGACTCACGTATGACTGTTCATAAGTAAGTAATCCTTTGAGTAAACTATACCATATCGGTCTCCTGCAAAATCTCCCCATCCATTAAATAAGGCAAACGGGATCGATCAAGTCCCCGTTCGGCTTTTTAAATAGCTTGTTGAATTGCTTCGAATCAAATATTGTCGTTATAAGCCTCATAAGCTTCACACAAACTGTTCTTGGGAATTCGGCTCCCACTAGTTAAATCTTGAAAGGACAAAAAATAAAGGCCAGAGCGCATGTGAAAGTGGAGGCTGGATGGGGTGAATAACGCTTGGGGTGGACGAAATCTTCCAAATTTGAGGTGCTGGATAAATAATTACTCTATCTGCTTAAAAACATCTAACAACTAGGAACGCTCCACCCACTGTGAGGATGACCAATGTCAAAGTATGCAGAGCGTGTCCAAGATGAGCGGGTGGAGCGTGCCTTTGTATGGAATTAGTTTCCTGTTCAGTAGCGTTCGGTTAGAAGACGGCGAAAGCAGGGGAAAGTGTTCAGAGGATAAGGAATAGGGATATTATGCCCATGGAGTTAGGGCGTGCGCGGGTGTGGGCGGGTATTTGCAAAACCTCACAGTTTATTCCTGCACGGCCCGAGAAAATGTATAGCGGAGCAGATGGCCGGGACGTGTTCCGAGGTGGACGGGGCTAGATCAAAAAATTACGGTTGCCTCATTTCCTCCCGCCAAGGAACCGTGCTATGCGAAGTGACCAGCATGCGTTCCAAACTGATAATATGTTAAGCCAATAGGCCGCTTCATGTCCTGAGGCCGGTGTCAGACTTTGCGAATCCAGTGATTCGCGGTATAGAGCGTTGTGCCAGCGAATTAAGCTGTGTAAGAGCGGTTTGAACGACGTACCAGCGAGTTGACACTGTTTGAAAGTGTCGGGCTAACTTCGAACGTTGGCTCTCGCCACTTTCCCGAGCTCATAGGGCATGAGAGCTCTGGAAAGTGGCCATAGTCAACGTGCAACCGTTAGAGAGTCTCGCCACCTTCAAACAGGGTCAAATCGCTGGTACGCTAGTACACAGCTCGAGGTGGTGCCACGCTCGCATCCCGCGATTTGCTGGTTTCGCAAAGTTTGACACCGGCCTCGGGCATTCGGTATTTACATGCACTCGCTTTCTCTCTTGCCGAGCTTACGTATATTCGAAGTGTATATGATCGATTCCAGGAATATCTACAGCACTCCATCGTCAGCCGTCGCTGAGCAGGCCAGACATGAGAAATCTGATCACATCGTCATCGGTGGCCTGGGACTCGCAAGCTTAACTTCCATCGGGAAAGCAAGATCAGACAATCAGATTTCGGATAAATATTCACTATTAATTGGAAACTGGTTGGTTCAAACAGTACGAAACGGCTCGAATGGTCGAAGGCTTCAGGGATATAGATACAACTAAATAAATGTTCATGAAATAAACTTCAGTAAGATTTTTAGCGACAACCGACCAGCTTCAAACCAGAAGTTTGAGTTCTCTTGCCCATGGCCCAACTAAGCCGCGGATAATTGAATGAGCCGCTACGTCGTAGCCCACGTTGGGTATGCACTAGGTATCTCGTCCATTAGCAGTTATCAGACGTCATTAGCTCACTTTATAAAGCCCTAGCGTTATTTGTCGCGCATTTTTTGAGCCGCGACAACGGCACATCTGTGTTACTCGTGGACTTGCCCACCCCATCCTTGGAACAGATTCTTGTACATGACCTTATCTGGGTGTGGAGCTTCGAATTTCGCTCGTTCAGCAGAAACCAGCCCCTGTCTATCGTTCTCACCATCTCTAATACATCTATACGACGTCGTCGATAAATTCAAAGAAGCCAATTATCAATGTCAAAAATGGAAGAAATGAGTGGCTTTTGCCTCCATCTTCCCGTCTCAAACATCTCTGAGTGCTAGTAAGCTATTTTAAAGAAAGCGATTACGCAAAAAAAGGAAATTTCCCATCAGGAAGCCTCTGCGTCACACGGAGCAATTACTTGGCCGCCAAGGAAGAGATGTGTGGCCCTCCCACGGCGGAAGGTGCTGTGGTTGCTGAGCAGGACCCGCGCGACGCCCCGCCCTCTGCGACGTGACGCCCACAGGTTCACTCGGTGGCCTGGGCGAGCCGTGTTGCCAGCCGCAGCGCGGTTAGGGCGCCATGCCTGCTGTTTGCTGCCCAGCACGCGTTGCGTAATCAATCTCGTCCACGCGTGCGCGGTCTTCGCCGCAGTCCATCTGAGAGCCGCAATCAACGGCCCAAAAGGGGGTCCCATTTCTCGTTTCCTGAACGGATTTCGCTGCTTCTTTCGCCACTGACGTACCATTGAGGACCCCCTCGTCCCCTCTAAACCCCATTCAAACCTAGCGTAACCGCTGCCTTTAAGTTGGCACCTACCTGCTGATGTCAAATGGCGTCAGATGCCAAAACATCAACCCCAGGTGCAAATTTAGAATGCAAAATTTTGTCTTCATGAGAAATCGAACCATCGACAGATTTTCCTCTGCTTTTTCAGCTTTGCTGAAATCGTCGAGCAAAAATGAGGCATGACTTTGTGTTTCACGCACAAATCCGTAGAAAATGCAAAGATCGTAGTGAAACTGCACTGCTTACAATAACGAACCCCTTGGGAACGCAGTGCAGCCGCTTAATAAATAAAATACTCTGTCAACGAATAAACTGTCAATTTGAGAATAAGCCATGTATTCGACAGCAGATTACTTTGAGAAAGCTGGAACAACGGATTAGATATAGATTTTGGCTGGCCCAGACTATTTCTTCAAGGAGTTTCCACGATAAAAACGAAGGTCGAAGAGGGGGAAACCTACCCGATGAAGAGGCAGACGGACCCTTCAAGGGTGTAGAGCAACACGTTATTCGCATGGAGGCATATGCATGGCATGGCCATTCAGCGCAGCGCAATTGCCTCGGAACGCCCAACGACTACCGAATCACTCGCCGCAAGTCGATGCGTGGCGAGTGATATCAATGCAGAAATCGACGAGCAATATAAAGGCCCCGTTACAGACCACTTCTACCCTTATTTTCAATGAGCTATCTTTTCATCGTAAGATCTGCCTTCAATCGATGCCACTACCATTTCGAGCGGTGTCCGACAGCGTGGCAGGTCTTGAAGGGATTGGTGAATAGAAGAGTCTTATATTGTGCCCTCGAAGTGAGGCTGAAGCAGGCTCTGAACTCTGCACAGCTGCTTCAATGCGGCTTGGGTGAAATTTCACCGTGTTCGTTGATTGCTTCAATTGTCAGCCGTAGATTAGGGGCCTGCGACTGATACGGTGAGCGTAAAGATTGCTGCGGAATACTTAAGACCGCTCCATCCATAACTGCACTAATCATTCCTGGATTTTATTTGTTTGCCATGATTTTGAATAAAGTGTTTCCAAACTACATCTCAATACTGTCTCTCTAATACGACAGAGAAACACCATACTCGCTTCAAGTTCTCTTAAAATTCTTGACAACGCCAGAGGAATTACTACGTTCAAAGAAAAGTAAATCACAGGAACTGATTGTGCTGCGTACCAATCGGATTAAAGTGGGGTTAGACGTTATCTTTAGTGGAGTGTTCGCCACACGCGCCACACCGTGTTCTGGCCGCAGCTTCTGTTTTACCCTCTTTTTTTCAATTTCAGAATGCTTGGCCTCGCACTGCTGTCTGCCCTGATTTTGAGCTGCATAGCCGGGCCTGTGATTCAGAATGAATCAACAGCACAAGAAAGGACTTCTAAGTTGGTGAGTAGTGGAAGAACTCATTTTCGACACAAACTCTTATTGGTGAAATGCTCACCTCAAAGCCGGCCTTTCAGGTTGATCGCGTATTCACTAAGAAGTTGCTCGCTCAATTCAGATCGATGTCAGAATTCGCGAAGGCCGATGTCATAGTTTGCGAATCGAGCGATTCGCTAGCGAATCGCTCGATCCGAGCGTTGCGCCAGCGAATCGAACGTTGCACCAGCGAATCGAACTTTGCGCCAGCGAGTCGAACGATGTACCAGCGACTCAATAGTGGCGGGACCCAACGTTTCAAAGGAAGCCCGCCACTTTCAAACAGTGTCACGTGACAGTGGACGCTGTTTGAAAGTGGGTTTCTCTTGCGAATCGAGCGATTCGCTAGCGAATTCGCTCAATCGCAACTATGAATCGGCCAAGTGGAGGCGATTTGTAAGCGATCCGCGGGTCGGTCGGCGTAACAGTAATCGAACATTTCATGCCACGATTCACGAACGACCGCGGCGTGCAAAATCGCTCGGATTCCGAAAAGTCTGACGGCCCCGAACAGCGGTAAACAATTCTACAGTAGCGTAGGCCTCGAAAATCGAATCTAACGATTTACCGAATTTAGGTAATATTACACATATAAGCTAGTCTTATGGTGAGGACTGACGTACATTCAATGTTTACGGAATGGCACTCTCCCTGGATACAAGGGGAAAATTTTTTTGGATACCACGTTTCGTCGCGAATTTGGTCAAAATCGAAAAAAAAAGGAAACCACAGAAAATCTAGAATTTGTGACAAAACCCCTGCCCGAGCTTTCGGTGAGTATTGTATACAGGTTCGGTCGATTTGCGGCGAGCGGAACAGAATAGAGAGCACATAGGACGTGCGAGACGGGATACGCACTGTAGCGCAAATGACAGCTGCAGCGGCATCAGGAACGACAAGGCCCTATCCCTTGTCAGGAAAGCGCATATTCAACTTTCCTGGACAGCTGTACCCTATCCATGGGAGGAGCTATTTACCTGAGTTATTCGGGCCGTATTTATCAAGAACAAATAAAACGCGAGGTTTTCCTGAGAGATCTGATCTGAACAGAGTGATAAGTCATTGCTCTCACCCTCTGAATCAAGAATGGTACCTCGCCTCCTTGCCAGAAGGCATGCCAGAAGGATCAAGTCCAGGTCTTCACCATCATTTCTTCCTGTGTTTTTACAGTGATTCGGTTTTCAGCTCGTCACTGATTACGCAATTGATATCTCTACCTTACTTCCACTTACGGTGTTCCAGTGTTTCCATCAGAACACCTACAAAATCGTCTTCATTAGGTCAGTTGAAATTCAATTGTTTGCTTTACCCAAATTCACTTCAACACTGAAAACGGCAGCGGTCCTCGCTTTTGACAGCGCCAAACGCGAACAATTCGGCTTGGGTGCCATGATCGATCCCGGACCATGCTGTCGTCGGCGTACTGATATTGTTTAGTAAAATTTGTGGAACTTATTAGTCATTGGACAAAACTACAGTTACAGGGCCTATCATCCATATGGTCAGGGACAAGTTGACCAGAGTGCGATCGACAATATCCGAAATGCCGATTCTGGTAGGGACTGGCATAAACAAGAGATTCGAAATCTCAATTTTCTGCGTCACAATGATCAATCAGAGAAGACGCCTGAACTGTCAGCTGATTCATTTCATTCAGCTGGTCTCGGGATCGAAGCCTACATGGTTCCTGAACCGAAATCCAACAAAACCGGTACAGTGCAATTCAACGAGATGTACGACCACCTAAAAAACTCATTTATTTATTTGAACTCAGTGTGGATCCAGGTAGGAGGTATTTTATGCATAAATAGCGGGAAGTGTCAAAAACACGCAGAGACTGGCCTGAGCTCAGCTGAGCTGTTGAAAAGCGAATGTGTGGGAAGGGGAATTCATGTTTGGGCGTACTATTAATATTTCTGTTGATTTTTCTGATACCTTCATGGGCAAATCTATGCAAAAGAATGATCGTCGAAACAAAGGTTCACTGACCCTATTTCTTCTCTTCCACCAGCGGAGTAGGGGGGGGGGGCTACTTGACGTGTCCTAGTCAGCTATTAGCTCATGAAAGACACTAGATTAGCGTCATGCCCTGTAGGAAAGATAGAATTTCTCCAGGTTTCGGCACCTTCCACTTGGTTGCCAGCTCCAAGCGACAACATTGCTTTCCTCAACGACATTCTTCTGAGAGCCAGCGTGAGTCCAGTCTATAATCCTATTCATGTGGATTGTAAAATTTTACTCATGACGGCACTCGAAAAATCGTTTCTCGTTGAAGATGGACGGGCTCAAAGTCGGTATCTATACGAACAACGATGACTGGAGCCGGATTACTGGTGGAGCCCGAATTAACAACGCCATGCTTTGGTAGGAATACGGGCATTGCTGGGATCAAATTCTGTGAGGCATCCTTTCCGCAAATATGGTCCCGCATTCAGGTACTGGAGTGTGAAGGGCGTCGGTGCATCAAACATGACTCCAGCCAACTTCAATGACTTCAGCGCTTTTGGTGGATGGACGGCGCCATCAGTGAAGCAGTTTGTCCAGGCTGATACCTTATGCGGCGTCACCTTGAACAGGTACCGAAACGAGACACTCTTCTATAGCCCAAGAAAAGTTTATGATAACTTGACCTTATAACTAGACTCGCACTATAAGAAAAGTCGGGTTATAGGATTCGTCAACAGCTATTCCTCTTCCTCTCCTTCATTGATAATGTAAAAGAAAGACACTGCACTTGTTTGCTCTCTTACTATGCATACGTACGAAATGGGCATTGGAAAGCTTTTTCTTGAATACCACAGCATAAAAAGAATCTGTGGATTGGACTTACCAAACCAAATACGGAAATATCCTCACTATATTATACCATATTAAATTCATATTGATGAGTGAAGAAAGGAGCCACAATTTCAGGAATGTTTACGACACCCAAATACCTGTAGGCGTGGAAGTGGCCAACAAGGAGAAATCTGGGCGAATTACTGTCGGAGGCCTCGGACTGGCAGAATCTACTTTCGGTGGAAGGCCGTTAATCACATGTGAATGATATGCTAAATGAAGATTGAATCGTTTTTACTGCCAGCAGAAATATTGGAGCTATAGCCGCAGGGCGATTCAGCGAATTCCCTCTCCACAACGACTGGGACTTGGTCTTCCGATTCCACTTTCGAAGTTGCTGAAGTTATTGAAACTCATCGGATCCTATCCGTGAGCCTCACCATACTTACGCACAACCCAACCCCCTCTTGTGGCACCAGGCCCAAGCAGGGTCAACCGTCACGTTGGACCGATTTCAAAATTTTTACGACCCCCCCTCTTCGAGAGTCTCCATACGACCCCCCCCCCCGCACTTATTATGTACTGTACACTGCTAAGGAAAAAGCTAACACTAGGGGAAATAAGTGCAATCTACAAAAAATCTAAAGACACTTGGCTTGAATTCAAACACAGTTAGCAGACGAACTCTAGTTTCCTGATATCCGGTAATTTACTAATGCATAACATCGCAAAACGAACTGCCTTCATTAGTTGCTAAACAGTACTGCCTTTAGTTCGAATGGCGCTTTGCCTGCCTTTCATGAATGGGCGTTCAAATCACAAAAAATTTCCATTTCGATATGCAAGCGCATATCAAACGAGTGCATGGCGCATCTCAGAGCATGAGAGTATACAGCAGAAGTGTCCGATTGGAGCACGGGAGCGTTGCGTTCGCATTGGCGCGCGCAATCTTCCCCTCGGCGCAGCGCGGGCAGCGAGCAACTCAAGAAAAATTGGAAAGCTCAGACTGTTTTCTTTCTAAAAAGTGCTCAAAAGCTCTTGCCTTCATAACTCGCCGGCCTTTCGACTAATGGTAAGTATATTCCCCCTCTTAGACCTCCGACCTTACCGTGATATCCTCCTTCAGGTGAAAATAAATGTCAGGAACTCGTTTGCTTGGGCTGTGTAGTAGAGAGTCTTAAAAGGATGATGACAGTTTTTCTAACTGCTTGGCAACTCAACTACTTTAGAAACGGTTCCACTTTATGCTCATCTTTCTGAGTGCAAACCCAGCCTTTTTACCCAAATCACCCGCCGCTCATTTATCCAAGGGACGGTCCGGCATAAAGAATCTTCACCTTTCCACCCGTGAAGCACCGACGCAATTTGATGTTGTGATCACTTATGCGCCTGAAGTTGCCGCGAGAAGTCATGTGACCCCAACTCTACCACCAGGGTCAAGCGAGGCGTCGAGGAAAATTTGGAAATACGACCCCCCTCCCTCCTCCGCCAGAAGCCGAAGTCTATGAAACGACCCTCTTCAAAAGCCGAACTATGAAAACGCTATTTAATTCTCCACCAAAACTGTTCATAAAAAAGCCCTGCTACTCCACCGTTCACGGAAAAATTCATTTGAGAAGTACAAAAGTGAAAAAGTCAAAGAATAGTCATTATTGATGAGCCCTATCAAACGAGCAAACGAGAAACGGAGCAAAAAAACGTCAAACTAGTCACCAAAAATGGCATACTATGACAACATCTCTTCGTTATTTATTCCCTTCGCAAGACTTATCAAATTTTGGTACTACACAGTGTATGCTCTCAATCTACACCTCCCCCTTTCAGTTGAAAGAAGGCTTGTACCCGCCTTAGCCAGCTGTGTGCTGGCTGATCTTTGGCGTTGACCGTGGAGCAGCTTATCCACTATTGAAATTTGAACAAATATTCAAATGATTATAACTTTCTTCAAATATGACGAATTTTCAATCTGAAAGCAGATTTGGAAGTTTTGTGAAGAGCTCTTTCTAATCAGTATTGAAATTACAAAAATTTATAAGAAATAACAAATTTAGATCAATTAACGAGGAAAATTCGAGATGAGCACGAGTTTTTACACTTTCCGAAGCAATAACTTGCTTCATTACTCGTCAAATCCGAAAAGTTAATACGTCAGACAAAACTAGAAGATTTTCTCTATCAAATGGTTGCAAGCAGCTTTATATGTCCAGTACTCAAAAAATGGCCACGTTGAGGATTTTTGCAAAATTAACGAGGAAAATTCGTGATGAGTGCGAGTTTTTACGCTTTCCAAAGCCATAACTCCGTTCAAACTCATCCAATCTGGAAAGTTAATACGTCATCATAAACTAGAAGATTTGCTCTTTCAATGGCAACTAAAACTGCTAAATACGTTCACTATTTAAAAAATGGCCACGTTGAGGATTTTTGCCCGAGTACCGCCGAAAGGTACTTTTTGCTGCATTAGCACTATTCCAACGACTATAGCTCCTTTCAGAGGCGATTACATACTAAAGTGGGAGCAGATTCGAAATCCCGTGCTTTTCTTTCCAAAACGTGTAAAACTGTTCAGCGTGTCTCAACTTTGACGATTACATGCTTGTGAATTTGACGCTTAAGGCTACGTTTCTTGTTGAATGGTGTTCTCCTCCCTGTAATTTCACATGAACCCTTTCAGAATCCTCGTGTTCTATCCTAAATTGAGATTGTTTCTCCAGAGAGCCGTAGCTGAAGCGCGTGCAACCAGCTGGACCCACTCTGGGATGCGCCGTGTGCTTCACATCCCTTCGGGTTTGAGGACTCACTTGAAAGAAAATATCCCTTGGAAAAAGTGCGATTTTCGGATTCTTAAACTTGTGTGGTGATAAAACACTGAAGTAACCAAGAATTCCAAAGCGGACACCTCTAAATCACGAAGATTTTGTGTGGGCAGAATCAATTGTTGTTGGAAATACTCGGCCTGGCATCGACTCGATCCTTGATGTTTGTCCTCTGACGGTGATCCTACTGCGTCAATCTGGCCCGATCTCTTCCTCCCAGCGGGCCAATACGACCCCCCCCCTGTGACCTGTCGAGGATTCCTCAACGCACGCTTGACCCCAATCTACACTCCGCAAGCCCCGTCTTGCGCTGTCGGCTCAATATCACTGGCACTGGAGCAAAGCTAGCCGTTCGTGAAACTCATTCGAACACGCCCCTTCTACATCTGAAGGGAGAATGCGACTGAAAGAGAGGGGGCCTTATTCGGGGCGCAGTCGGGGTTCCTTACGCTTCTCTTCGTTCTTCGAGCCACTTCTCACTCTCGGCTTAATTTCTGAATGCTCTTACATACAAGTTGGCCCCACCGCTTGCCTTCAGATAAATGAATAAAGTACTCTGCGGTACTAAAAAGGTAAAGCTGGCAGAAAATGTTCTCCGACTAAACGTGGTAAGGCCAGGTTATTGAGGAAGAGTGATGGTCTTCGGAGCGTAGGCAAGCAACCACAATGAGGAAAAATATATCTAAAAATTTCCTGTTCTCTTTGTAGCGTCAATATTCAAACTCATACGGCGGTCTAAGCATGTGGTCACTGGATGTCCAATTGTTGTTGACAAAAAGTCCTTGTTTTGTAA